CTTCCCCTGGCATCATAAAATAACTGCGGTCACCCTCACGCCGCTTACAAAATTTACGTAGTGTAAAAAGAACAACTCTCGGCAGATCCAAGGTTCGGCACGGTGCCCTGGGAGCATCCCTGAGGCGTCGCCAGCTGAAAGAAGTTATCTGAAAACCACAAGACGCCCCTCTATCCAAATGCCTGAGCCCGAGGTGGTGTTATTAGCTGTTCAAATGAGGCTTCACAGAACATTTGTGCACATCCAAGCTCCATCTTTACATTTCGAACCAGCTTATTTCAGATAAAAAAATTTTAATAATTTTTTCATTCTGCTCTTCATATTTCAACAAGCCGCCTGAAAACAGGAACCAACCTGAATATGCACAAAGCAGGATTTTGGTAATGAAAGTCATTCCTCTCATGAATTTCTCTTTTGATACATGATATGTGACGCCAGCAGCCAATCACATCAGGTAATGATGGGATTCATCAGCAGCACAAGATGACTGTCAGAGATAATTCCCCACAGCACCGATCGAGTCAGGTTCACCTGATTCTTTTTTTTTTTTTTTTACAGTTTGGTTGGTCATAACTGGGTTAAATTGGACCACATTTTAAAAATGCATGCATGGGAAAAGATCAAAGTCGTGGAGCAGGATTAATAACAGGTATAATGGCTTTGAGTTAAAAACATGGAACATCTGTTTTCACTTCACGCCACGTTTCAGGCTCGAGTGAGCCCGAGTCTTTACTCAGCATCTTCCTGGATATATCCCTATTAATGCAGCTTCGTTAGATTATTAACCTGATTTGCCTTTTTTTCTGTTTCAGATTCTTGTCAAACCTGGCTCATGAATCCAACTCTGCTCAGACATGATGGTCTATTTTCATTGTCTTCAAATTATCATAAAATGCTTTCCTCAAGTTGCTGAGGCAGACCAAACCACACAGAAACTCCTCTCCGGAGTGCCGTTTGGTGAGCACCTGGGTGTAATTGCCTTGTTTGCGCTCCTCTCTGTCCACAGCAAATACATAGTTAAGGGATTAAAGTAAGCGGGATTACTCGTTAGTGTTCATGCTATGATGCAGAGTGCAAACAACGTTCCCAGTCACGACCAGTGAGGCCATATGGTGCAGAGCAGACGCCCGCTGCCTGGTGAGCTTGCGAGGCTAGATTTGAACTGAATAGAGCTGCTTGTTTGCCTGGTTTTTAGGAGGCGAGGATAATTTTATAAAAAGCTACAAATGCATTTATGATCAGAAGCTCAACTCGGAAAAAAAAAACTGATTAATTCATCCAGTAAAACATGTGATGTATTTCTCTATCAATGCAGAAGGATCACTTTAATTAGGTAGAAGTTTTGTTTGTTTGATTTGTTGCATTTGCAGTTTACAAAAAATGGCCATTTTACTACAAACAACTAAAAAACTAGTGCTCTACTGTTTATTCAAAGAAAGTGAGTTCAATTAATTAAAATCCTTCACAAATTGTTTGACTAGCTACTAAACAGTGGTTAAGTTACTCTACTTGCAACTGAACTCAGATAAGACTGAAACTCTAATTTACCTTGTTTTCTGGCTCAACAATCAATCAGTTTATATATGTTTTAGGTCCATCTTTCCAGTCCAGCCACAGACAAAAAAAAAAAAAAAAAAACTACAGACTAGAACGTGACACTTCCATCTTGGAAAGTTTCTTGTAAAAAAAAAAATACAAAACTTACCTTGAAATGATCATTAATGCTTTTATTTCAATTAGGGATGTCCCAATACCACTTTCACTTCCGATACGATACCGATATTACAACTTTGAGAATTGTCCGATCCCGATATTGACTGATACCGATATTGACCCGTTACCATAACAGGACAAGTCACACACTTTTACCTATTTTGTAATGTAAAATCTTAGAAAAGTCTTGATCAAGTCAAACAGCGAAAAAGATAGGTATGAGAAAAACTGACCCATTTATTTTTAACCAATGGATCACATACATTTTAAACTGAAGAATATTCTACAATTTAATAAAATAAATTATAATACCCTGAAAAATAAAACATAATAAAAAATGTTCTTTTAAAGTATAAAATAACAATTCAAAATCACTTCGGTTATTGTTTTACTACCTGTCAGCCTGGTGCTGCTTTATGGTGGATAAAACTGAAGGTGGGGACAAAACAAAACCCCACATTATTGTCTGTTCAAAGTTAAGAGTCCACAGCTCCAATTTTACTGACTGTAACCAAAACAACGTGATCATTGCACTTAATCTTCACTCAAACAAGTGTGTAAACAGATTAAACATCACTCTAACAACAAGAGCAAAAAATAAATAGTAAGAATTAGTCAGTTATTTAAATTGATAGCTACCTTTCTTACTGCTGCATTTTCTGAGCATCATGTGGAGATCAGCCTCTCGCTCCTGCAGGGAGCAGTTTTTAATCACTGCTCTCATCATGTCGCACTCATATTCCAAAACAAAAGCTGCGCTCTCCTTTCTTCTGTCCATCAAGAGCTAATMCACGGGATGTCAAAAGTCCTCGCTTCTGCCAGCTTAGAACCACCGACCGGACCAGAGAGGAGGTTCCGAAACAGCGCGGCTGTGTGCGGTCACTGGACCGAGGCCGAACAAACCGAGCCGAAACGCAACGCTGCTGCCAGGGTGGAGAGTAGTTATCGCTCCGGTTTAAAACATACACGGTTCTGTATTCCCCCTCGGAAAACTTGTGCATGACAACTTTGCACTTAGCTGCAACTCTGTTTCTGATGAAAATAGAAAGTTCTGCCGACATTCTTGCTAACTTCTTAGCGCTGCATGTTGTTGTGATCACGTGAGCTCTGCATGCTGGATCCAAGTGCTGCTGGATAGAAACACTGGAGTGGAGTCAGTGAACTGCTGGAATGGACTGCTTATATCGGAGCGCTTATATCAGACATTTTTTATGTAGGCCGATAAAATCAGATACTCTTTTTGGCTGATATCGGACCGATATCCAATATCAGTATCGGATTGGGACACCCCTAATTTCAATCCTGTTTTATCCTCCCTTCCCTGGCTCCCAGTTCATCTCAGAATTCTGATTTTAACTTTCAGAACTTTGAATGAACAAACTCCTTATATCTCAGCTTCACACAGCATTTTGTAGGTTGAGGTCATCAGGTCAGAGGTTGYTGGTGGGACCCCACACCCATTTTAAATCTTGTGGAGATCGATAGATCCAGGTAGCTGCACCCCGACTTTGGAAAACACCGCCCCACTCTCTACACAGCCTTGGTTCTGTTGATGCGTTTAAAAAACATCTAAGACTTTCTTTTATAAACAGGTTTTTAGCTACGTTGTTAGAGCTTTTGTTGAGTATATTCTATACGCCGTTTAACTTGTACTTTCGCTTTTTGGTGAATGAAACATTTTTTTTCTCTTCCTTTTTTTGTGAAGCACTTAGTGATTTTTATATCTATGAAAGGTGCTTTACGGTTAAGTGTGCATATTTTTTACATTAATGCACAATTTTCATTTTGATTTTGAATAATGCCAAAAACAAAATAAGATTATGTTTACCAAAAAGACATAACAAAATGTCTCCACCATCTCCCTGAAGACTAAACAGAATTAACACAAGTTTGCTTTTAAAGGGAGGAGTTGATGAGGTGAAATGATAACTCGGATGGTCTGCTTCCAGTGAACTCAAACAGGAAGCCATAAAATGAGGAAAAGGTCATTTACGTACACAGGAAAACATGAAGAATTCTGGCTATTTAAAGAGCTATTTTAAAACCACACAAGGTTCTTAACTAAAAAGCAAAACATCTTTTTTTTACTCAAACAGGTGGACTCAGTTCCCAAAGATTTGCAAGAAATTTGTTTCCTGTGCTAAATTTAAATAAACTCTGAATAACAAGTGTACAAAGACTTATTGTAAGACTTGTTGGAGCCAGAGTCTGATTCTGAGTCGGAGGAGAATGAAGACGACCAAACTATAGTTGGTAAGTCCAGACCTTATTTGGCAGTTCATCGCAAATACTGTGATGTAATAGTTCCAAAAACATACTAAAAAAAGAAAACTGAACAGGTTGAAAAATATGATTCAAACAGAATATAAAGATAGCTACAAAGCACCAGGAGACCCTGAATTCTAATTTTCTGCACTCTAGAGAGTAAACATGAAAATGCATTTAACGGCTAAAAAAGTGGAATTTGCAGGACATGTCCCCTTTAAACCACACATGAAACAAGAGACTGGGTCTTTATTCTGTGTGGGATATTTATATTTTAAACGTGAATGCACTATTCAGACCTGTTCTTAGAATTAAACAAAAAAAATTAAGACTGTACATTTGGACCGGTGTGGAACTTGTTCCCCAGCATTTTTAAACAAAGAGCACGCAAAAGCACAGTTCTAAACAATGTGGAAAGAACACACCTCTTCTTGTGACTCGCAAACATGAGACGAGCATCCAGCTCTAAACAAAGCTGCAGCAAGATGAAGCCACAGTGATCAATGATACACCTGGAAGAGGAGAGAGTAAACGAAGCCAGTAAAGTTGGGTCCAGTAAATCCCAGTGTGATAAACACACACACACACACACACACACACACACACACAGAGCATAAATAGTTGTGTCTGTGTTTCATGTTTAAAACTTTGTTGGTGTTTGTGTTTTGAAAGAAAAGGGTTATAAACAGAAGGTCTAACTGCACTGTGCTCCCAGACAGCAGGAGCAAATAAACTKAACATTTATTATGAAATATCACTATTAAACAATTCAAAAAGGAGTTTAAAAAGATCACACAATATTGTTAAGTGGAGTAATAACAGTTAAGCCAGATAGACATTTTGTACAAGGAAAGGAGGCCTTCTTTTATAAAGTGTTCCAGGTGTGTCCCTTATTTGCATAGCCAAAACCGAACAGGTTTTACATTCATGAGTCCTCGTGCCACAATTAATGAGTAGTTCTCAGACTTTCCCCAACTAAAGTTTGCATGAAAATAAAGGTTCAAAACAGGTGAATTACTCACATGTCCGTGGTTGATAAAACCGTGTTTTTGGGCAACTCGATCAGCTTCCTCCGAACCTCCGGGTATGTGGACAGCCCACGTGTTGGTGTAGACCTCCTGACCCAGCGCCGACCCCAGCCCAAAACCCAGGAACACCAACACGGCCCCGGTTAGCAGCTCCAGCAGCCCGAGCCTGCGGTCTGCGGAGGGAGATGAAGGGCCGGCAGCCATGGTGGTGGGGTGGGGGGGTCTCCTAATGCAGCACAGTCACCGAGCGAAGCAGCTCTCCAGCAGTCCGGGGCTGCTCACAGCACATGCAGGTGCACGGAGACACAAAGACACGGAAGGTCGCAGCTCACTTGGGAGGAGACAAAAGAAGAAAAAGGGAGAAAGGAAAACAGGCAGCATTAAAACAAACTAATTTACTGGCTTCAAAAAGTCAAGTTTGTTAGATCATTTCTAGCCTGGCCYTTGCCTTCCTACACAGCTCCGCTCATTCTAGTTTCCCTTCACTGATACGTCTGGGGCTTCTCCCATAGACAAGGATTTCTTCAGGAGAATTGTTGTCCAGGCCAATCAGAGAACAGAAGGAGGAGTTTTGAATGACAACGATGATTTTCTGCGCAATGCCTGCTAGTTAGTTTAGCAATGACAGTGGAGGAAGTGAATGAAGCCAGTCCGTGTTGATAAGGCTTCCAAATTAAAATAAATGTGTCTGACAAAGCAGCAGATCTCATTTACAGTCRTCTCGGTACTTCTCTCTTCTCAGTAGAGTTGTTTACAGCGCACGCAGTTTCCCGTTAGCTTCTTAGCTTAGCCTCCTTCACAGTGGAGCTGGCTACAAATGTCGCAGCCAACAGATCCAATCGTTTTAAAACTTCAGCAGAGGCCACGCCTCCAGCAAGAATCGCTTCTCTATAGCTGAGAGTCCAGACCTTCGTACGAAGCAAAGCGTAGGACAAGGGTCAGGTTTTTATCAGGCTAGATAATTTCCTGTAAACAAAAAAAAGGGCAACACTAACAATTTACTAACTGCAGTCARAGAATCAACAAGTCTATTTAGCACAACATGGGCCTCGTTCCAACAAACACATAATGTTTCACATTTCAGGAATGTAGAATTGTTTTAAGAGTACTTCCTTGTTAACTATGACCTCAYATCCAGGGTTACTTTAAACATTGTAAGCAAGGATTCTGGGACGGGATGGACCACAGCACTGTGRTAAACTTTGTGTGTGTGTGAATAAACATTCAAGGCTGAGTACTGGACCAGTTTCCTGCACCTGATTCGAGTTCTTTGTACATATTTTACAACAGAAGAAAARGAATATGAAGATATGTCAACATAAATCAATCGGGTCGAAAGAACGGCTAATTTATCCCAATGACAAGTTAGAGCCGCTCAGTTAAGTACAAGTATTTGATAATCCTACAGAAAGYGGTGAGCTGGGGAGGCAGGGCGCGACCTGATGTCGTGGTGAGACGCTCGGCAGCAAAACTGGGTCTTTACACTCCCGTGGGAGGACACAGTCAATAAAGCTTGTGAAAGAAAAATGCTTAGACACAGTGAGTTGGCAGCCGAAGTGGAGAAGTGTGGTTGGAGGACTACACCACGCCCTGGATGCTGAGGGATAACAACAACAGAGTCCGTTTTATTTAGTACATGCTGAAGAAGGCMCTCAGGGGTGAACGCCTCAGGCAGCAGTGGCAGCCACTGAACGGACCATAAAGAGCGCTGGAGAAAAATGTTGACTGAGTGATAATTTGAGAGCAGTCGTTAATTTTAAGTGTGTTGGGAGATATTTTACAATCCCATTACAAGCAAATATCTCAAACCCAATCATATACATAAAGAGGTAAAGCTATTTTTTTAAACATCAACTTTAGCAGAGCAAACATTAACTTATTGTTTAGTTGCTTTTGCCTCCATATTTTTATTTCAAGCCAGAAGGGYCAGCTGCTGTGATTCCTGACACCATTACCATCCTGAGAAAACTGCACTGAATACAGGCCTTTTTTTTATGAGAAATCCTGATTCAGGTCTACAGTGAGGCAGAGTTTTGTTTTTTCTCTCAAGTATCAAAGTAATAAAGTCCCTCCTCCTGTGTAAGACATTGTGTTGGAGTCAGGATGAACAAACAAGCTTCTCAAGATTTCCCTGGACAGTTTGTTGCAGTGAGAGAATGATACGTTTGGAGGTGGTTGTCGTTTTGCAGTGCCTTAAAATAAAATAARAAAGAGGATTTATTTCCATTAAAAACACCTTCTCTTTTCAATTTAAAAGCAACTGATGGCAATTAAAACWGCATTTGATGTTGGAAAAAGAGAGATGTGGTATTTTATTGATGATTTCAAAACTGACAAATAAAATAAACATCGACCCTGCAAGGAGGTTTTCTCAGCAGATGAACACAATACTTTTACACTGAAAGCTCATTTTGCTACTAATCCATGATTTCATTTAAAGGGATCTCTGATTAGTTGTAACATCAGACTTTATTTGATAAACATTTATTTCAACTGTAAAATAAAGACTGTAAAAATACTGTAGGCTGTTTAGTTTTGCAAATTTTTAAAAATATATTCTAACATGGACGGAGCCATTTTATTTACACGCAAAGCATTCTGGGTAAATGATGACGTGGATAGGTCATGCTTTGCGTGTAAATAAAAATGGTCCCCATCTGTGTAAATGATAAAAACTGAACATCCTACAGTATTTTTACAGTCTTTATTTTACAGGTAAAATATATGCTTATTAAATAAAGTCTAATGTTACAACTAATCATGGATCCCTTTAAAGCCACATCAGTAACATTTCATTTACTGACGCTGTTTGTATAACTATGTAGCAGAAAACTTCCCATTTGCAGATCTGAGGACGCAGCTTTATGCACAGATTGTTTCACATTTTCACTCCCTTTGACATAATCGCATAAGTGGAAAACTCCATTTTTAATTATCCTTAACAGTCAAACTATGGTCACCATAATTTGCATAAATGTCTTTTTGAAAGAAAAAAAACAATGACGCTCCTCCCAGCCTGCCTTACCACATGTCATGTTAGCACATACTGTCACAACAGCTCTTCTTTACACAAACCTCCCACACATACAGAACAACAGCTCTGTTTTAGTCCTTCATATGTACATAAAAACATTTTAAGTTTAGTCTAAATTTAAATAGATGTTTGTCTTTTACTGTTATAAAAAAAACAAGAAAAAAATCTGTCTCATTTTACCACAAAATGGTGTTTTTTTTCCAAGCAAATTCACAAAATCATTGCTTAAAAAACTACAGAGAACTTGTTTTAGTGGGTCACGAGTCAACAAGTAAATTTAAATGACTTTATTTAAAAAATAGGCCACGCTGTCCAAAACCTGACGGGTCTGACGAGCTGCTAATCCCATTTCAGGTATTACAAGCATTCATTAGCACTGAACAGAGGCGATGTTTAAAAAAGCACTTTAACTCAAACAGCAGTGTGTTAATATATTCATTTATCCATGTTTAATTAAATAAATCCAGAGGAAATAATTCAAAACACAAAAGTTCTCAAAAAGCTTAAAATTGGAAGTCTAAAACCAAAATTATCACAGTTTTTAACCAAGCTAAAAATTAATGAAAATTATAATAATACAGCACTTGAAGTAATTAATAAATACAAGCCTWCAAAAAAATGAAGAATCCACAGATAAATCCGTAACTTACACAACTCTGTCCTCGCTCCGTTGACACAACGAGCAAATCAATCTGAGCGCTCCCGAGGCTTTGTTTGATTTGATTTTTTTCAAGCACACAGTGACTCTTAGTGCTGATTCTCGTGACCTCAKCTGAACGTTCAACCACTCAGGTCCTTCAACGTCAGCTTGAAAACCACACAAACCAGGKGCTCAGTTTACAAGAAACCAAGTGGAAGCCAACTGTTAATATGGCCGCCGTCTTCACGGTGATCTCAAATGTTGAACAGTGACGACGTAATATCATATCAAATTAACCAAGCATCGTTAAACCCAAAGGATAACACTGTCCTCATTACCAAAGATATCAGGACAAGTTTCAAAGGAAACTCTTTACACCTCATTAGTTTATTTAGATTCTAATGAAATAAAAAAAATTTACCAACATGACCTTCAAGTTACTGTGAGTGTTAATACTGTCGGTTCTCACTTGAACACATGAACTCTGCTCTCTGCAGGCAAATAGCCTCTGGAGGGTTTAATAAGCTGTGAGTACAAAGGATGAATTACAAGAAAATAATAATTTAACTTATTAATATATCATGCATGTCCAACATATATGTAGTTTTGCTCTCTGCTAAAATGGTGGTTTATTTTAAGAAGCGTTTATCCAAATATACAAAGCATCATAAGGTTCTTTACGAGCTGTAAAATCTGGATTTATTTCCAGTTCGAGTTATCTAAACATCAGTGTCTCACCCCAACCTTTCCTCACAGTAATTTATCTTCATCTGCATGAGTATTAAACATCATGATGACACTAAAGTTACAGTCTAAGCTTAAACTATTTTGCTGAAGACTCTGTTAGACTCTTCAGCAAAATAGTTCAAGCTTAAAACTTGCATCCCGAAATGTTAGAATGTGTCCAAAATGAACAACTGAACTGGGAAATAAAGTCAAAAAAAGCATTAGGTAGTAAATTGTTAACAGGGACTAGAGACCTGAATCTATACTTTTAAAAAATATCATTCCCAGGATTATGAGCCGATTTGTTTTTTAAGTAAAGGAAAAGTCTAAAGGACACAAGGTTATCCTCCTGCAAATGTCAGCATTTATAAATCAAATTTTTATGAGCAAACATTTCTAAATAAAAAGACTTTGCTAAAGCTTGCTTCAGGACAGGGTTTGTTTGGGGAATWGAGAAACACGTACGCAGCGGGAGGCAGAACAAATAGATGACGACTACATCTTCAAAGTTTGAGCATTGTTTTGATTTTAGACCTAAAACAGCAAATTCTACAAAAGGCTTTTCATCGAGGCAGCTGTTTGCACTCCTGAATAAGACTCATTTTTAAAATTCCCTTTGAGACGAACAATTAGTTTTCATCACTCCCACTTTTTTAATCAGCATTCKTTGAAGAAATGCCAGTTTTAGAAAGTGATTGTTTCACGTGGACGCTTGTGGCCTTTTTAGCCGTCAAACTTTAGCTCAAAATTTGCAAAACTGATCGAGTTCTAGATTTTTAAATTGACTAAAGTTGATCAGACGTGGTGTTCATTTTTAAATTACGTTGATTTGAAAAGTTAATCAGATKTAGAGGCTCATCTAATGATCTGTGCAGTGCAGATGTTTTGCTAACAGACTGGGTTGAAATAGTTAATGGTAATATTTTAAACACATATCGTGCAACGTGTTGGAGATTAGTCTCAGGGTTTTTCCATTGGCAGCCAAAATACTGGTCTCTTATTCTTGTGTGACATTAATCAGACATGTTAAGTGTTTGCCATCATTTCAGCAAGTTAACTGTGTTTCATACAAACTCATTTCTGTAAATAAATAACCGTAATAAAGGAGGGTTCAGCTCTTTGAATGGCAGTGAAAACAGTAAATCAAAATGTCTGGTTTTGTTTTTACTGGAACATTTGCTCTACAGAAACACTTCCCCAAACTTCAAATATTTCACATTCTTACAGTTCTGATTTTATCCTGAGATAACGACTATATAAAATATGTTTTGTACCTGAGACGTGCTGTTTTTATTTCTTGCATGCTGCTGCATGAAATGGGGTTTCACAACTTTTACATTTTCAGTGTTCATCCAGAAGCAGCAGCTCTGGGTTTTTTACAAAACAAGTCGAACAGATCTGCGTGTATCAGCCAGCCGGATCACTGATGTTCCTGGATATAAGATTCACACTCCAAACAAAAGGTTTCATATCAGCTCCAGGTGGTTTCCTGGGTTTAAAAGTCCGTTTAGAGCAAAAAAATAAATAAATAAATAAATAAATAAAAACACACAACAGGAGGAAGAGCATAACTGCCGAACTTCTCCCGGCTGAAATATCTGTTTACAAGTTTTAATTTGTCAGCTGGGAGTTTAGCGTCGGTGGACTCACCTCAAAGTCCGTGAAAACAACACGCAGTCCTAGTTTGGCTCGAAACCGCGTCTGGAACTGGATCCGACCCGGTGAGGACTCCTCCGCTTGACAAATATGTCTGAAACTGTTCGGTGATCGAAAGCGATACTACTCCGAGCTGCTTCGTCTCTCTCTACACACAGGTGCCTCCCTCCTTCCTCTTCCTCGTCTCCTCCTCCTTCATCCACGCCTGGCGAACATTACCGACTTACATTTCGTTACACGCCCGACCGAGTTAGCGCGGAACGGCAGCTACAGCTCTTCTTCCACGACCCCGCAGGAACAACCACAGAAACCCGACGCGGCGCRGAGTCGACGTCAGCTCGCGTGCGGTACGTGTATATTTGTGTGTTTGTGTGTGTATGTGTGTGTGTAACTCCCTTCTTCTGAACAAAAACACCACGCTCAAACTGACAGGACCCGAACCGATAAGACAACACATAGCTCCCCGGTGGTGAGCCAGGGGTCTCCGGTCAACTCGGCAGCCCGAACAAGTCCGAATACGAGCCGAAGCAGACGGTAAACTTATCAGCGGCTCAACTTACCCCGCTTCCTTTTTACATCCTGCTCGAGCCGACTTGTTGTCTCACACCGGGGTTCTTCCGCCGACGACGACACGGTGAAGCGACTGGAGAAGAAGACGACTGCTGCTGGTGATATAAGCACTCATGATACCCCTCCGGTGTACCACTGAGTGGTCCGTACAAGCCCCAGGAAACACGTCACGACCGTGGACGAAGTGGAGACGTTGTATGGCAGGCCGGTGTGACATTTAATCAAACCACACTTACCATCTCCGTAGACCAGGGTTGTTCAACTGGCGGTCTGGGGGCCAGATGCCAAAGTCTGGCCTGCCAATTGATTCATTAATCTCTTAAGCCCAAACTCCCATTTTTATACATTGATAAGTTCTTTAAATTAGACATAAACGTGTGGTGGAATCTTGGATAGAAGCTGGTAAACCATTTATGAACACTCAAAACAGTTAAAACTACAAGAAGTTGAAGATAAAACTAAGATAAGTTTTAAAAAATACTAGTTTAAACAGTTGTGGAGGAGTCTGAGATGTCAAAATAATATTTGTGTCAAACAGGAAACATAATGAGTTATTTTTGGTTTTGATATATTTTTATCACTACTTTTGTTACTTTGGGTTTTGTACATTGTATTCATGAATAAACAAACTAATTAAAATGTAACTGATCTTTGTAGCATGGTTTATTTACATAAAGACCTTTAATTGTTGGATGTTTGGCCCCTGAGCTGTTGGCCTGCAGTAACTGTGGCCCCTGGAGTAGTTTAGTTGAACCTATGGGCACTCTCTCAAACCAAGAAAAATGACGTGATAGCACCTCTATATAAAATCTTATCTATAATCTTAAATGAAAGCTTAACATGAATCAGTTTAGAGCAAATACATCAGGTCTGTATAACGGCAYAAATTTACCAGTTGGATTTGTTCACTTCAATGACGTTTCCATAGAAAGCTCAGCCGTTATCTTGAATGACCTGCAACCCAAACATTTCATACATTTGGTCTATTTATGGTAAGTAAAGTAAAGTAAAGTAAAGGTTATTTATATAGCGCCTTTCACAGAAAAGGATTTCACAAGGTGCTGTACATCCATTATCAGAAAGAAAAAGCAAACATATCACAATAACTGTACAAATTATACACTCAATCCATTCAATATTTGAAACAAAAACAAAAGGAGTTCAATTTATCTCTCACCCTTATAGGTGGAGGGGATGGATACTAGACCGGAATAACACACATGATTGTTGGTCAGGGCTTATAAACTCAAGTTGTGAGGTGTTGAAAATATTCAGTTAAATGCTTGAGTGAAAAGGTGTTTTTTTTTAGTTGTTTTTAAAGGAGTCAGTGTTATCAAGAGATCTTAGATATTTATGTGTAATCTGTGGAAAAAGTTCAATATCACTACCTGTTCCACCAAACATTAAATGAACAGAATCAGCTGCCAATAACTACAATTTGTTTGTTTACATTCGAACATTGGCAGTACACTTTGGACAGTCTCACACTGCAGCCTGTACTCATTCTGACTCATGTTGCCAGCTTGTGTCACACTGATACAGTGAAAACACTGACAATACTAATTGTCTCATCTAAATACAAAAAAAAGGATCTTAAGCGGTTGTAATTTTTTTCACCCAGCAGAACTATGGGTACACACACACACACACACACACACACACACACACACACACACACGTTTTTTTCAGTCCCTGAAAGTCATGTCATGATGAATTGGAGGCGGAGCTTATTGTGAGATATATCTGTGGAGATTGAAGAACTAAATTTTGCTTACATACACAATAACAATACTGGTTTGTATAGCACTAATGAAATCTGGTTTTGTTTACTTTTTTTATTTTTCTTTTGAGCATCCATGCCGTGCCATCTGCACCCCTGCTTTTTATGGCCTTAATTAGTCTCAGAACTCAGACTCAGAACCTTACTTTATTCTTTAATAATTAAATACCACCACGACAAAAGGTCAAAAGATCAAATAAATGGAATAAATGTTATTGTGAACAGATAAAAAGCTCTGGGTATCCAGAATGTTTATAATGATTTGGATGACTTGCGTTAGACATTGAAAAACCTGCCTAAGTATTATATGACAAACCTTCTTGCCCTACATGTTTGACAAACACATACTCCGTGATCAGCAGCGCTGCTACAGCTCCACCTACTGCTCACAGGCGGTACAACACCAATTACCAGACACCCTGGCTGTCTGAGGCTGGCAGATACCAACCATGCAGTGGGCAATTTATCGCAAGAAAAAAACATGAACTAAATGCTCAGTAAGCTGATTGCATGCCAATAAACGTCATCCTGATTGAGGACATTGTTACCAGCATGGAGGGATTATGAATAGGCTTACCAGGCACATGTCCAAGGTCAGGAGGCCCCTGAGTCTCTGAGCCTCTCCATGGAGTGATTAACAAAGTCCATCAAACTGCTGCAAATATTCACAATAAAGAAAGAGAAAAAAAATCATAAAGAATTCTTAAATAATTAGACCGTGACAAATCCACTGAGAGATTTAAATTTGACACAAGAGACAAAAAAAAAGACAGATAATAATCATACATACAGAAATTTAATAGATGTAATATCACTGAAAACACAAAAAACATATGTCGCGTCAACAAAAAGTAATTAGGAACTGAAATATGACTCAGAAAACACAAGAATTGGAACACAAACAAACACAAAACCACTATAAACAGAAGAAAACATCTCAGGAACTGAAAACAACCATAAACTCTCATCTTGAACTAAACAGAAAGTCAGAAAATGCCTGATCTGTGAGAAACAGGAGACAAGAAGTCTGCACCCTGGAGCTAGGATCATTTCCAGCCTTGTGAGGACAAACGGTAACTGACCATTTGTATGAGACTTACGTTGAACATGCATGAGACTCACCTCACAGAGCCCATCTGTGTGCTCAGACTAAACAATGACTCACAGGTTCTGCGTGCCGACCGGGTCATTTTCTGTACAATCAAATCTGATTTTAAGTAGAAACATGCTCCATCTGTGACGTGTCTGTGTTCAATCATGAGCCACACGTCTCCTGGTTCCTGTAAGGGCACACAGACGTTGTTTCTTTCCTTCTTCTTTTTGTTATCATCCTGCTGTATCAAAGTAAAAGATACAACGCCACAAAACACACGGGATGAATAAACTTACATTAACACTGATTTTTTTATTCAATCCTTTTCATATAACAAAACCAAAATATAATTAAAAAAAACACTGCAGGTCTTTCAGGTCCTAAATTCTTGAAGCAATTTTGTATCAGAAAATGTTTTAGAGAGATGAGATTTCCTGTGAAGGTCACAGACTGTTGAAGTAAGAAGCATTCATAAATAAGAGCAAGATTTCACATTTCTATTCTTAAAATATTATGACAGCATGGCTCAGTTGGTAGAGCTGTTGCTTCTCAGCAAGGGGGTTGCTGGATTGAATCCCAGCCTGGGAACCTTCCTGGGTTTGCATGTTTTCTCCAAGCTTGTGTGGGTTTTCTCTGGTTTCCTCCCACAGACCAGAAACATAACTGTGGCAAACTGGAAACTCCCCAGGTGTGAGTGAGAGAGTGAATGGTTGTTTGTCTCTGTATGTTAGCAAAATATCTTCAGATCCAGAGGACAAATTTGAATAAAACTCTCAATAACTAATAGTTAATCATTAATCATCAGATGTTCACCTACAACTGCTGAACCTGTAGGCTGTGTCCTTCAAAGGTCCTGTGAAGACTCACCTGCCAGATTTACAGCTTTAGTCCCGTCCTTACCCTGTGTTGAACAGAGGCAATGAAGATCGATGCTGTGCATTAGAGACCCGGCATACGAGCTAGTTTACGATGATTTCTGACAAGAATAATATAAAAAACATGTTTATAAATGACAAAATCCTAACAACACAAACACTTTAAACTTTCAATTTCTGTACCGCTAGATTTTTATTTAAAACCGTACCCGCCTCTCGCCTTGTCTGCCGTTACAAGCCAAAAAAGAAAAAGAAATAATAAAAATCTCCAGGTCTGCCTGAAGTGCATCTTGGGATAGGCCGGCCTGAGAAGGATCCACCAGACCCGACCCTTGGAGGAAAAGTGGAGGAGCCTTTGAATTTGGACAGCCTTCGGTGTATCGTTATGATGTAATCTGCCTTCAAATCCAGCCTTCGAAGGATGCGGCCTTTGTAGAGCCAACCTGATTCAAGATGGCTGCCACAGCTTAGTAAACTGAGCCAACACAAACGTAACTCTGACTTGGTGAATTTTACAGATGTGGAGCTAAAATCCGGTGTGGTAGTTGAGCATCTGCAACACAAAGTGTCATATTTTTGTTCAACATCTGAAGTCAACCCTCTGTTAACAAAAATGCACATGAACCACTGGACAGATGGACATCTATAAATCAACTTTCGGTCCTCTTCAAAATGGCCAACACAACTTTGTCAGGAAAGGCAGCGGGCGATATGCATTCCTTCACAGACTGCCAGGCCTTTAATCTGTATTGTTAAGGTTTTCTTTGTTTCAGGTTTGTTTGTTTGTTTGTTGTATCTGAGAGCCCGCTCTTCTGCCAAATAAACATTAATCACTGAGCTGCGTGTTGTTCTAACAAACAGATCCCCTCTCTCTCTCTCTCTCACACACACACACACACACACACACAGATTTATATTCTGCTAATAACCCTGATGGAGCAGAGCACAATTAGAAGCCGTGTAAAGCAGGAGAACAACACGCTGACGAGTGGGGCAGCTCTGATTATTTATTTGAAGTACAAATGTAATACCAAGGGAAGTGAAAAGGAAAATTAAATTGGGTTTCATCATTTTAAATGAGCTGCTGAAACAAAAGGCACAGAATCAGGGAGCAGAACGTGACGCCGCCTGCCTTCAGAACTGATGGAGATGAGTTTCTTCCTAAAGAAGCAGAGAAAAAAATAAACTTTTTCACAACTCAGTGGACGCGACTTTCTCACAGGAAGTTCATGCTTTTTATTCATTTATTTATTTATTTATTGCTCTTTGAAGACACACCTCTGAGCTCCAGCAGGACGTCGCCCTCGTAGCGAGCAAGCCCGACAGCGTGCCTCTGTTCCGGGCCCAGCTCGGCCCACTGCGCCTCTGTGACCGCCCACGCCTGMTCCGTGCTCAGCCACGACAACTGGACCGCACTGAACACCACCTGCCAGGAGAACAGGAAATAAAACAGTTTTTTTTAAAAATACCACCGGTTTATTATCATTCCCCAAAAAAAATTGATCCACAGACAATTTAGATTAATTTGTGAATCTAAAATTCTGAATTTTAGATTCACAAATTAAGAACTATATAGTATTAGCAAATATTTATATTTTGCTAACAGTACAGGCAAACAGGCAACTTCACTATTGCCTGTTGCCTTCAGCAGTGGATGGTGATATAATAAATTTTAAAAAATTGCATTTCCTGTGAAAATGAGCATTCACTTTTTAATGCTGAAAGATTTTTGCTGAAAGCTGCTGAATTTAAACTAAAACAGCAAAACTGTTAATGTGAGTTAAATTTGAACAGCTGRTTTTTGCTGAAAGTTGGAAAACAGTGAAAAATCTGTAGCAAAAATGTATCAAAAAAGCTGAATAGAGCAGAAATGCAGCTGAAATTAACAGAAAATTGTAAATGTTTGCAAAAATGTACTGTAAAAAGCAAACATTTTCAAACTTAAATATTGTTTAAAAAAAAGGAATCAAGCTGAAATTTAGACAAAAGAAAGTAAAACATGAAGAAAAAAGAATTAGATGTGACACTGACCTTTTATTTTGTGACCTTACAATTAATAGGGGTCATCAGTGAAAGAGCACGTTTGCTGAACTAAGAAATAAGAAGCTGAAATTATCACAAAAATGTGAATTTAGCTGAAAACAGCTAAAATTAGCTGAAAATAGCTGAAAAGTAGCTTAAAAAGTTAATAGCAGGAAGGAACCAAAATAGCATGTTTGCTGAACTAAGCTGCAAAAAACAACTAAACAACAATTTAACTGAACGACACTTAATTTAGCAAAAAAAATAAAATAATAAACTGCTGAAATGTAGCTTTAAAAGTTAATAGCAGGAAGGAACCAAAATAGCATGTTTGCTGAACTAAGCTGCAAAAAACAACTAAACAACAATTTAACTGAACGACACTTAATTTAGCAAAAAAAATAAAATAATAAACTGCTGAAATGTAGCT